CCTTCTTGTTATTTTTAAAGACTCTGGCCTTTTCGGCCTTTCGACCCGTCGAACCCTATCGGCTAATTGAGCCATATCCCTCAAGTATTGAGTGTCTAATTTCTTTCGAATAGAGTAATCCAGGCCGCCAGCAGCCATTTCGACCAACTCATGTTCAGGAACTACTGTAAAACATCTAGATTTCAAGAGCCTGAATCTATTCAGATAATCATCTATGGGTTCAGTGAACTTCCTCTTGACACTGGCCAGTTCCTTCAGACTTATTTTTGATTGTCCCATGTAGAACTGTTCATGGAATAATCTCTCCAAAAGAGCCCAAGTATCAATGGACCCAGGAGGCAAAGTGGTGAACCATGTGAAAGCGTTCTTAGTCAGGGAACTTGGGAAATATTTGATCCTAAGGTCTTCATTATTGGCTATATCTCCTGCTTCGGTTAGATACCTGGCTATATGTTCGACTGTTGACTCATTGGTATCCCCAGCAAACTTTGTAAACTTAGGGACTTTATATCCCCTTGGTAAATCAGTGTGCATTATGTAATCTAATATAGGGGAGGCATAATTTGGCCTTCTAATTCCTGTGTTGAGGCCATTTTGGGCCATGATCCTCTCTATCATGGTGGTTAAATTATTTTCTGCCAAGATGTTATCGTTTCGAATTCTATGAACGACTGCATCAGCATCTTGATTTCGACCCACCATGACAACCCCTCTAGGTTGTTCTTCTCGAAACTCTGGGACTTCTAGCCTTTCGACCCTTGCCCCTGGTTCCATAATTTCCCTTTGTGGGCCTTGGATCATTGGGGCTTCTAGCCTTTGTGCCCTTGCCCCCAAATTAACCTCCTCTCTGGCTGGTCTATAGGGTGGGTCGTTAGCAACTTGTTCTATAATAGGTACGTTTGCTCGAACTCCCGCCTGATTCTGCCTACGCCTTTCTGGGGGAGCGAAGAAATCTGTTATTCGACTCATGTTATCTGCATTTTCTCTGTTTGTCACAGTCACATTTTGTACTATTGGGGCAAATATCTCCTGCATAGTTTGTGCTAACACTCCTATCATATTATGGTTACTGTCATCCATCAATTGCCTAAAGGCCAACTGATTTTCTGTGGTTAGGATAGGCATTGCACTATAACCCACTGATCCTTGGTTATTTGTCATAAATTAATTTGCCCCAGACCCAGACCCTAACTGTGGTGATGAATTCGATGTGGAATTGTGTAAGCCTGCCATAAAAGATGTTGGCATTCCATAAGAGGAATTTCTGGCTCTATTACCATCGAAACCGGGTGGTCTAGTTAGTGGAGTGGCGAAATGGGTTTGTGTCCCTGATGGTGGGACGAATCCCCCAAGGTAACCAATGGTTCCAGTATTTCCTAGGATCGAACTGTTAGTTGATATGCCACTCGTTCCATTAGTGGCTATATTACTGGTAGAGGATGCAACAGACTGTGTGTTCGAAGGGATTGCATTAGATGTTCCCATCGAAGCAGACATATTAGTGCCTGTTGTATGTGGGATATTTTGTTCCCCTTGTTGATTTTCTGAATTAGACATCTTGTTTAAACGTTTTCTTCTGGATAAGGGTTGGTTGCTATTGGTTATTCTACCACTTCTAAGGTTCATAAAACAACAAACTTATCACTCAGAGAGTATTTTTACAATGGTTACGTCTCAACAATTATTTACTTTGTTCTAAATTTTGTAATGGCCAATGGTGAGTCCCACCAGGTGTGCCAATTTGTTTACAGTGATTTCTGGTAAACAACCGCTAGTCCTCCAAACTATCAAATAATCTTAATGACTGTTATTTAATCTCTCTGGTAACTTGCAGGATCGACTAGATTGATCCTAAGATGTATTGGTCATTTGGATAACTCTCATTATAGAACTGATATTCATGGTTGGTATTTAGAATGTTGTGTAGGTGTTTAACTTACTTCGATTAATCTATTAAAGATCTAAAGGCGTGATCAAGTAAATGCGTGCGAAACTAAATTGCATGAATAAAGTTCAATTGTAAAGACATGTAAAAACTGCAGAAAAGACAAGTAAATGACTTCGAAATATAAGAGCATGTAATGTAAAAGCGTTTCTGGAATGTAAAAGATTCGAGATATGAAGAAAGCGTTTAAATGCAAGAAATCAGTAAAATGACTTTAAATGAAAAAGGTGTTCGAATGATAAAAGCATGAAGATAAAGGCATGAAATATACAAAAGTTTCTGAAAGTAAAGGATTTGAAATGGAAAGAACACATTTAAATGTAAGGCATCAGTAAAAAGACTTCGAATGAAAATATTTTAATGCAAAGGCTTTTGAATGATAGTGACATGAAGATAGAGGAAAATACTGGAAGTGATAAAAAGTTTTATTAAATCATAAACACTTGGTGTTATCATACGTACATTGCTCGTGCATTCGTTTCCCTAGCCATGTGGTATTTTAAATGTTTACTGAGTTTTTTGTACAATAGATATGACACACGAAATCCTAATGCTAAGACTTCTATTTATACTACTTCGACCATAACGGTCTTGCTATAAGATTCTGCCACGTTCAGAACATGCAAAGCAATGCCCCTCTCTAGCTTCCACGCGTCTTCAAATGCTCCAGCGCACATATTTTAAATTTCGAACATCCCGCTTGCATTTGAATTTCAAATGTTTTGGCACTTCTTCGCTTCGAACGCATTTCTTGGACACAGCCTTGTTATCATTTCGAGACTTCTTTTGAAGATATCCTCATAACTGTCACTCGAAGCTCCAAACTTTGATATGCCCATTCGAAGTACTGCTTCTACCATTTCGAAACATGACATCCTGCTTTATTCCAATCGAAACATCCAATTTGCTTCGCTTCTAATAATATCATCAAAATCTTCAGCCAACACACGTGTAGAGCGATGAAGGAATATAATGCACGAAGAAGAAATCTTATGGGTAAAAAGCCAAACTTTTATTACCCAATAGTAAGTATAGTAATTGTGCTATTTGATATTATATTAATTGTGTGTATTAGAGTGACATTAATAAATGTGTTATATTTGTAGTGGCGAAAACAAACCGACGACCATTCTTGTGGATATTATATTATGAGATATATGCTCCATATTGTCTCTGATGACATTACACAAGGATGGATGAAGAATAAGGTATTAGCTTAATCCATGCTATGTATACTTCTTAAACTAATTTTGTTGTTTAGCTAATCATAGTTTAAATTTTGTTCTAATTGTAGGAGCTTAGCAACCAAAAACCATATTCAACAGAGGAAATTGATGACATCCAATCATGTTAGCCCAGTGTCTTCTTATCTCATTATGAAGCTCGAGAATAAGAACAATAGTTTATGTTGGTTTTTTTATTATTTTGTATATGAACAAATGTTTTCTTATTTTGTCTTAATGATAACAATGTTAATTTGCACACTTGGTTTGAAATGATATATGATATCCTGTTACATATTTTATAGTTTTTGTGTAAAAAATAATACTGGCAGACTAATAAATTTATTATAATGATATGATACATGCCAGTGAAAACGATATAGGCAAGAAATGATACATGGGTAATGAAATTGATAAATATAGTCAAAAAACTTTATTACCTCGGAATATAAATGAAATCGATAGCTATATCAAACGCGCAACAAAATGTAGAAAATAAAATATATACAATTCCTAGGGATCAAATCCACGATCTTTTCAATTTTAACCTCAGTTTTTAAAACACTGAGGTGTTAAGTGGAGACTTTTCACGACGACCTTACTAACGTCGCCTGGGTTGCCGAGGTAAAAACATTTTGTGTCCGACGTTACAACAACTTTTTGTAGTAGTGATAACTTCTATAAAAGTCCTAGCTTTATCCGCGTTAGCAAGAATTTGGATGTACAACTATTCAAGATCGGTCAAATGGTCCAACAAGACCAACCTAACGTTAAAGGCTCAATCCAAAATAATCTTGCAAAAAAGGCAACCAGGTAGACCCTCGTTGGAAGACCACACACTAGATCCATACCATTCACTCATCGTCAACCATTGGATGAGATCATTCCACACCGAGCCAAACGAAAGCCGTTTTAACCGCTCATCATATATAAGCTCGTTCACGTGCCATGACAAATACCTTTTTCATTCATTTCCTTCGAGTTACATCTCTTTAATTTCACTAGCTTAGATGTTGAAGTACTAATCTTATAGGCCCGCTCCTGCTCCATCGTATTAAAGATTAGCTCAATGTGTCGGAAGAGCTCTTACTCATATGTCACCAATGCTATATTACCCTGCAAAATACAATAAAAAATAATTTTGCATAGTCCTGTAAATTTAACATTACATTCGTGAAGTCATTTACAACATTTATTTATACAAAAAAAAAACAAGTTAGCTGGAATAACACTTCAATTTGGTGGCATTCCATATAATGAATTCTTCGAACAAAGTTTCAAGGTTGTAAAATCCTTTGCTCATACCTATCAAAACATTTTTAAAATAATTCAAATACTTTTTTTTTAAAAATAAAATACTTTTTTTAGTACCGTATATTAACTTAAGATTTATTTTGGTCTCTTAATTTAAAAAAAAAGATTATATTGATTTCTTAACTTTCAAAATGTTTGATTTTAATTTTTTTGTCTAATTAACAATAAAAAAACTTAAAAATTAATAGTTAAATTTGTCGCTAATGAAATAAAAAGATTAAAATGAAATATTTTAAAAATTAAAAAATTAATGTGAATCATTTTTAAATTAAAGAACTAAAATAAATGTTGAAGACAAGGTACATGACTATTTTTGCGTTATTTTTTAACGAAGAAATCATCTATTAATGTGTTTGTAAACTTTATTTTATAATCAAGTTAGAAGGACTCCACTAAAATCGTAATCCTAAATTCGTATATATAAAAAAAAAAAATCGTACTCCTAAATCATAAAAAGACGCACAAGGTTTCTAAACCTTGTCCATCGAAGAAATCCCCCAAAAATTGGCAAGAAAAAAATGGATAATATCAGCGATGATGAAATCGAGGATGAATTCCTCTACGAAGTCGAAGAAGAATTCAACAACCCCTTCCTCCACTTCCCCCCTCCCTCGCCATCCCCCTCCTCCTCTTCTCAAGACCAACCGTAATTCCTTCACTCACCTTCACATTCATATTCACAATTTCTGCATCTAACAACACGCAATTTCCACATTCTTCTCATGCAGTGACGCCATTGCAATCGCTTCGCCCGCCGAATTCACCTTCAATACCAGTATCGCCTCTTTGCACACATATCTCGGTGGTACGATTTTTTCAGTTTTTGATTTCTGTTATGTAATTTCGACTGTGTTTTTGATTTTCACTAAGCTCAATTTTGTTGTTTACAGACGTGGAAGACACGCGCCACCGGACTTCTTTTTTGGATGGCGGTGCTATATTGAACATTCCACTCTTTTGTCTTCAAGGTAATATTACTTTTTCTATTTTCACTTTCTTATATCATCCTTTTACCACCAACACTGGAAACACCTCACTGACACTCTAACTTATTGCCTGAATTATTTGACTAGTTCTTGCAATATTCAGGCGTTGTACTCTTTCCTGGGGCTACTCTTCCCCTTAGGGTTACTGTTTCTCGTTTTGTGACTGCTATTGAGAGAGCTTTGAGTCAAGTTGATGTTCCTTATACCATTGCTGTCGTATGTTAATCTAACTCCTTGTGACGGTTGTTTGTGATTTTTCCATGCTTGAGATTCTGCTTTAGTTTTTCTCTTAAACATCCATGAGTCACTGACATGCTTTTTTTTTTTCCATTTCAGATTCGGGTTCACAGGGAAACTGGAAGTTTTACGATGAAAGCGGCTAGCATTGGGACAACTGCAGTGGTATTCCATCTCATTTGATGTAATATTTATACCAGACTCACGCCGAATAATTTGCATAGTAAATGTGTGTCCAATATGGTTTTTAACTAAGAAATAAAGTTCTTTCTTTTTAAATTTTGTATTGATAAATAGCACTCTGATTCCCGGCACCGCACCTCACAGAAATTTAATGTTGGTAAAAGGTTCATAATCATATCACTTCACAGTTTACATGTGTATTTTGTGCAAAAGTCTTTGTTTTTAAAGAGTAGTCTAATAGTTGAAGATAAAGTGAGACTAAGAAAAATCACTGACTAAACCATCAAGAGAGATTTAAGGATAATGATATGTTAACTTAATACATGTAAGGGGATTATGATGCCATAGCCATCTTATCTATGGAGTCAACTACGCCTAGTGGGATATAGTTTGATTGTTGTAGATGTGAATTTGAGATCAATAAAGCTAATTTAACGCTTAAGTAATTAACATTCTATTAGTTAATACAAAGCCTGATTTTGCAATGCAGCAATGAATAAACCACTTCCCTTAAAGGAGGGAACCCAAAACAAAAGAGATCATCTGTATTTGCTAGTGTTCTTAGTTCTTACTATAGTTAGCTATCAGTCTCAATATGTCTATTACCTTATTTTTACTTGCTAATATCATATCAACAGATTCGGCAATATGGGCGTCTAGAGGATGGTTCGATGAATGTGGTGAGCCGTGGACAACAACGATTTCACCTAAGGCGGTGTTGGAATGACGTGGACGGAGTGGTTAGAAAAATATTACTACATTTGCTTCCTTTTTATTATTATCCACTTGTGCTTTAGCTTTGCAGCTAAAGATTGATGACTTTCCTTTTCTTTGGCTCTTCTTAGCCTTATGGAGAGATCCAAATTATTGAGGAAGATTTACCATTGCGAACTCCAAGGGATGCTTTTGGCAAATCAGCATCATCATGTAATATGCTTCGCAGCCGTGTTAAAATGCATGGATTAAAAAACAGGGAAAATGAATTAGCAAACAGTAGTGATATGATGGATGTATCAGCAAGCACTAGTGATCAGGAAATAAGATCCAATTTGGATTCGAGAATTGGGATCTGTTCCACTTCTGGAAAGCTGTCATCCAAAGAAGAGCTTAATAGATGCTATAAGAATAAACCATCACATATAATTTCAAAAGTATTCTTACCCCACTGGGTATATCGCATGTATGACTCCTATTTGCTTGCACAAAAGGCCGCAGGTAGTTTTGTAGATATATTTTGCCTTTTCCCTCTTTGCTATGGTATATCACTATTATGGCTGATGAAATTTTGCTTTTCTTTTGTTTGCTGGTCTTTTATTATTGATTTTAAAATTTAAAGAGAAATATTAATGGAAAACTCATGTGCAATCATTACTTAATTTTCAGATAATACAATTCCTCTCTCTCTTTTTTTTGTGTGTGTGTGTGTGTGTGTGTGTTAAGCTTCCTTTTTGTACAACAATTCAATTTAAGTATTAAATTTATCTCTGAACTTTGGCTTGATAATCTGTAGATATGTGGAAGCAAATAGTTGGGGTTCCTAGTATGGATAGTCTCATCAAGAAGCCTGATGTTTTATCATTTCACATCGCCAGTAAAATACCTGTTTCTGAATCTACAAGGCAAGAGCTTTTAGATATCGATGGCATCGTATATAGGTTGCGCAGGGAAATTGAATTACTAGAGAGCATTGATCTTGTCCGATGTAAAATATGCCAAGTAATCACTCTCTTATCAAAGCATCTCAATTTTGCACACCATATTGCCCGTGTTTAAAGTTTACACGATTTTGGATATACAATTCTTTTAAGTGCTGAGATTAATGTTTATTCCTTTTTCTAAAAAAATGTCAACAAATTTGCAGACTACAATTGCAAAACGAAGTGATATGTTGGTGATGTCAAATGAGGGTCCTCTTGGGGCCTATGTAAATCCTGACGGTTATGTACACGAGATAATGACTCTTTACAAAGCCAATGGTTTAGCTCTCATCGGGCCAGCAGTTACAGAATACAGCTGGTTTCCCGGGTGAGTGTTAGTCCATTCTCATGTCTTATGATTTTATGAAAGAAGCAACTTGTTCAATAGTAGTATATATATCAAGAATCAAACTATTGTGTGCCATGAAGCTTTACAACTCTACTAGTAATGTTGGTTAGCACTCTGAATGCTAGTACATAATTTGGGAGCGGTCTGGTCTTTTCTTGTGCTGTTTAATTTGAAATCTGATAAGCTTATATGCCAATATATGCTACTTTTGGCAGATATGCATGGACAATTGCTATTTGTACCACATGTAGAACCCAAATGGGATGGCTTTTTACAACCACCAACAAAAAACTGAGACCTGCTTCATTTTGGGGTATTCGGAGCTGTCAACTTGCAGAAGAAACACGCCGAAACGTTTAGTTCTGCTGATGTAGTAGTGACCATATAATTTTGAATTTTGTATGAATAGATAAATCTAGCTTACTGTGGAAACATGTGTTCATAAAGCACTGCATGGTGCTATTATGTATATAATATAATGCAGTCTTCGTGTAGCAACGTGCATGGTTATATTATGTTATGTTTATAGTTAAATAATGTTGATGAGTTGCTTCCCTGTCACCAATTTTTATCCACCTAGTAGAGAGAAACATTTCAAAGTGGTGTCTCCTTATCTTGTTTTAACCCCCAAGTCAAGTCATTACAACCAAGCAATGAAATGCCATGTTTCTTAAATCATGCTAATGTAAAAATGATGCATTCAGAAAAAAAAATGAAAAAGGAATTGAATACTATTATTACTGATAGTGATTTTCCTTGTTACAAATCTATATATTGAAAGATTGGTAACTTGTCAAAGTCAACCTTGGAATGAAGAACTTGAATTCAAATGGCAATGCCTTATTCCACACTTCTAGCAAGCAATAAAATAAATCAAAATCAAATAAAACACCGCAGAGTGACAATGTAGTCTCTACATATATAATTTGATCAAAATCTTAACGGTAGCTTCGATAGCTTGGGCTATACATGCAACTTTCTGCGTATTTGACAAGATCCTTTGGTTGAGGTAAATGAGAAGCTAGACCTGTTAACCAAAACAGACAAGACAATTAATAACTACTAAAACACAAGAGTGTTGTCTGAACTGAACAAAACACATTTCACATTGAAACTCACCAAGTTCATATGTCTTAGCTGCAACACTAGCCGCAATGTTGGCTGATATCTTTCTGATATTTGTGAATGGAGGGTAAATCAGGCCCTTATCATAGTTCTCCTGTGATACCTGTGCAGCCAAAGCTTCAGCTGTTTCAGATAAAAAATAAAACGGTTAGCGTCCAAATCAAAACCACGTCTTAACAACACACAATTGCAACACTGATTTTATGTCATGCTCTAATTATACAATCTCTCAAGTTTGCATGTACTTACAGGCTGCCAAGAGCATCTCGTCACGCACACGGATTGCACCAGAAATGATCAAACCCAAACCAAAGCCAGGAAAGATGTAAGCATTGTTGGCCTAAATTGCATAGCAGAAAAAACAAAAATATAAAAGTTAGTCACTAAATTGTGGCAAGGTATGTCTGTTAGGAAAAGAAAAAGCTTAGTGAAGAATTGAATTAACACCTGTCCAGGAACAAAAACTTTTCCTTCATACTCAACGTGATCGAATGGACTTCCACTAGCAAAAATTGCTTTACCCTGCAACCAAATATAAGAGATGTAACAGTGTAAGTAAGAAATAACTCATAAAAAGATGTTTCTTAAGTTGAGCAAATAAGAAGTAATGTATAATTTATTTACCTTGCTCCATGTATAAGCTTCTTCAGCTGTGCACTCAGATTGTGAAGTCGGGTTGGAGAGTGCAAGAATGAGAGGTTTCTACATTACATGCCAAGAAATATCATAAACATTAGAGATAAAATCTTCTCATAGCGTGTTAGAGTTATTACTAGAGAAAATCATGAATATACCTTATTCAAGGATGCCATGATTTCAACAACCTCCTTGGTAAATGTCTTTCCTACTCCAGATGATCCAATCAATACCGTCGGCTTGATTGCCTGATGAAATTAATCGTGAGACATGGCATAAATGAATTAACGGTAGTAAATATTTTATTGAACTAAGAAAATAAAACTCGAGACACTTTGCTCACCTTGACAGCATCTAGAAGCTCCTTCACCGGCTCATGCTCATGCGCCCAAGACTTTTTGAAGTGCTGAAGAGATTGCAGACGAGAGCTAACAATAAGACCCTGCAAAAGAGTCAGCTTGTTATGAGAGGTTATGAAAGAAAAAAAAACTACGCCATTCATCTTCACAAGGTATTAGAGACGTAAAAGTTAGTTACAAACTAGTTACACCGAGTCAAAAGTTAGTTGCTCTTATTACCTTGGAGTCCACAAGCCAGATCTTCTTGCGAGTCTCTTCAACCGGGGCTTTCGTCTGACCAAAAAGATTGAATTTAGTTCAAGTACTAAAAAAAAAAGAATACCTTTAGATATAAACAATCAAGTATAAAAACCAAGTTATACCTGCTTTGAAATCTCAAGAGCTATCAACTCTGCTATACCAGTTCCAGCCTTCAATAACCAAAATATAGAAGTAAGAGTTTCATTTACAAAGAAAGTTCTAAACTATGTAGCATCACTACTTTCTACGTGTCTTGTGTTTCATAGATTCTAAAGCTTAAATACAAAAATGTGAACTGCATAACAAATGCAAATAACTAAATTAGGCTCGCTAAGGAACTTACCTCGCCAGCTCCGAGGAATAAGAATGTTTGGTCAGCTAAGGTTCCTCCGATTAACTTAAGGGAAGCGAGCAATCCTGCTAATACCACAGAAGCTGTACCCTGAATTAAACCAAAGTAGAACACAGTCAATAACAGAAACCGTGCGTAAGTCAAAATCTTTCGGCTATGCTACCTTACCTGTATGTCATCATTGAAAACAAGATGCGACGAGCTATATTTATCCAGAAGATTGAATGCATTATGATTGGCGAAATCTTCAAACTGAAGAACAAAAGAATAGTAAAATCAGGTAAACAATTGATTCAAGCAAAACACCAAAGCCAGTCATGATGTTGTTGAATCAGATATATAACCTGCACAAGAATTTTCTCTCCGTAGTTCTGCTTAACTGCATGCATAAACTCGTCTAAAAGCTCCGCATATTCCTAAACCACAACGAACAAACACAATGTTAGCAATATAGAAATTTCACTCCCAATGTACAAAATCCAGTGAGTGTGAGGGATGATCAAACCTTCCCAGTTGCTCGCTTCTGTCTAAGTCCAATGTAAAACTCGTCATTCAGCAATTTCTCATTGTTTGTGCCAACATCAATCGTTATAGGCAAGCACTGAAATTTATAAATACGCAGATAGTAATCCATTAATCGATCGATCAATTAAAAAGCAAACGAAAAAAGAAAAGCATTTAGTCCTTCTTACCGATGAAGGACGAACACCTCCTAATGCAGTATATAGAGAAAGCTTCCCAACAGGAATTCCCATTCCCTAACAAAACAATCGAAGAAGCGAATCATGTTAATATTAAGATTCACCTAAATTTTTCTAAACATAAAGATCCGCAGCGTAACTATGGCCGCATTTTACCTGGCAACCAAGATCTCCTAGTCCTAATATACGTTCCCCATCGGTCACAACAATGACTTGAATCGTTTTCTCCGGCCAGTTCTTAAGAACCTCAAGGATCTTACCTCTGGAAAAAAAAAATTCAAGCACTTAATAAGAATTTTCTAATCTAAAACACCAAGTTAAAAAAAGTACTATGCAAAAAAAAAAAACACACTTCTCCTTCAAACTGATATATAAACCCTGAGGCCTCCTAAAAATGCTTCCATATTTCTGACAAGCTTCACCAACAGTTGGAGTGTAAACAACAGGTAACAATTCCTCGACATTTTCGATAAGAACCTTGTAAAACAGCCTCTCATTCCTCTCCTGTCAATAGAGAAATTTCAAAGACAGTGAAAAAATGAAACTTCAAATTAAACATGTACAACAGAAGAAGCAGATTATTATATAAGTACCTGAAGGTCCATCAAGGCTATATATCTATGAAGAGGAACATCATATTGGCGAAGATTATGCATTAATCTCTTTTCCTGAAGATCTTGAGTGAAAACAGCAGGAGGCAAAAGGCCACGAACATAATGAGCATCTCTTTCTTTCTCAGTGAAGGCAAGACCTTTATTGTAACGTGGATCTCTGAGCAAAGTGCTTCCACTAGCAACAGAGAAACTCCATGGAGTGATAAGTTGATCTTCTGTAGCACTATCTTCACCATAGAGATCCTTAACACCACCACCGACAGAACCGTTGTCGTAAGCCATATTGTCTCAGATTAACGTTTCAACTGTTTTTTGTTTTGTGGTTTGTAATGTAATGTGCATGAAAACCTTATGTTATAACTTAATATATATATATAAGATATTAAGTAGTAATGTTTAATGGAGTTTGGTTGGTTATGTGATGAAAAAGAATAGAGGTAGATATGGTAATTTCAACGTGGACAAGAACGTGTATTAATGATGGAAATAGAGAAAGTATTCGTTGTCTTTTTCTGACTATTATGTGCTGTCTTTTTTTATATGGACCAGTTGAAAGACATGATTCTAGAAAACAAACAGACACAAGACAATTATTTTTTGGTTTTTTCTTGCCTTATATTTCACGTTATTGTTGTTGTTAATAAGTAATAATATGAAAGGGAAAAAAAATAAGGATGGAAATGGAATACACCTTTGTAGATGAGCCTGGCCAGGTTGAACGCGGTGGAACAAAATTTGTTGATTTGATTTTCCGCGTTTTGTACGAGTCAATAATCAATGAAAGTGGCACGGTCAAACTGTGAAAACAGCAAAGAAAAGTTGAAGTTGGGGAGAAGTCTAATACTACTATTCAACTTCAATGGATTAATGATTGATTGTAACTAATTAACAAATAAGTTTAATAATCATTATCAGTTAAACTAGTTCTAGATTGATTGATATATCTAATTTTGTAACGTAAGTCATTAATTTTTACAGTTAACTAATTAATATAAGAAATTAGTCGTCTTTTTCACGTGATTTTTATGTAACAAATACAAATATCACGTCACAAAAGAAAATTAGTGACGTGAACAAAATACGCTGTAATATCACTTAGTCGCAACTCATTGCTACGAAAAAATCACGTCGTAAATTTGTGATATAATGTTCACATCATAACTTTTTAAATAGATTGTATCTACCTTTACATAGATTGTAGAGTTGATAAGTGTTAACTAGTTATTCATTTGATATTTATGTCACAAAATTTACATTAACGACATGAAAACACGTCACAAAATTGAGTGCGTGTCAGAATTTTGACACATAACGTATCAAATCTAAAAAAAAA